CGGAATAGAAATAAGTTTTCGAGATTAATATTCCATCTGATGTAGGTGTAGACCAAAATTTCAGACCATTAACTCTTCCGTTTTTCCAGAATAATTATTTAAATTTGAAAAAATGACCTAAAACTGAAGTGTTGGAATGCTTCTCAATCAAGAATAACATAAAACTACAATTTTCAATTAATTTCTGAGTATAATTTATTTCTTAATAGTCTTTTGTATGTCTTTCTGTTTTATGTGTCTCAGATGAACTATGTAAAAAATCAAATTTTATGTTTCTGTTAAGTGATACACAGACTTATCAACCACCTTAATTATTTATGACGCTAAAATATTGATCGATATAGATTAAAGTTATCATTGTGATTGGAATGTTAACCGCATTACTCAAGTTGTAAGAATGACTTACGTGTAGTTTGTTTTTGTGGCTCTGAACAACTAATTGCTAGTTTCACTAAACAATAAATCAAATACATGTACATCTGAAAAAATGGAATCCCAGCATTTAACATTGAAATTGATTTTAATTTATTCTTTAAAGATGATTGTGTTCTTTCTTTAGTGTGGGAAGCGAAAGTAAATACTTTATATAAGTGTATGAGAACCCCGCTCTTGTTTACTGTTATAACATACGAAACCAGTTTTATAAAATATCTACCATATTACAATTGTTAATTGTCTGTAATACCATTGATTCAGAGATATTTTCATTTCCGGTTGATCACATGATATAGGGAAATGACAAATTTCAGAATATAAAGAATGGTTATGACATTTGAAAATTTGGAGGTGCGTCGAGTACATTAAAATGAAACCAGAAAATGCTTAAAGCACAAACACTAAACATTGTCGCATACATCCTGTCAAACACGTGCTTTTAAAAACATAACTAGTACTTTAGCTAAAGGATGAGCCAATCATAAAAAATCTTTTTAAATATCAATGAATCTTAAAAGGAATCTATGTCTTGAAAGCCGATTCATAAAAAAGGCGTTTTTGAGAAAATATTACAATACGCGAAATAATATGTTCACACGTGTTCATATCTTTTGATCAGTAAAGTAGTGTAGCATGACACAGTTACTGTGAGGATTTTTCATTTAATTCCTTCATTTAGACCTTTTTCTTGCCTCGAGTGCGGAGTATCAATGAATGATTTTTTTTATAAATTTGAAAATCGCCTTCCCTCAGAACTTTGTACTTTGATTTGTTAAAACATTTTAATGCAAGACAGAATTTTAACAAAAGAATACGGTATGGTTTATCAAAACCAGAGAAACTGTATATGATAAATTAAAACTTTTTAAAAGAAATGCAAGGTTCTACGACTATGAATATTTATCAATCTTACTAGATCGTAACCTGACTGATCTTTCTAATGTTTATATCTAAAGAAAATATACTGCAGTGTGGCATGCATTATGTGGACGATTTAATCACACTCAAGCAGAAACGTGTTGTATACGACTAATTAAAATGCCTGGGTACCAAATATATTATTCAGGTTATTATATCCTGGTTTACCAGGTTCCTACCACAAACACGTGTACGTACATGTAGGCGTGTCAATTTCTTTTTCTGAAATTACTTGGCGCTAAATCTATACTAACGTACATATCATGTACAAACATGTCCATATTAAGATAATTAACTGGAGGTATTTTTGCTGCATTGTTGCATTGCATTTCAGTGCTTCAAAAAAACAGCAAAGAAAACAAGAATGCAATATCGCAGTGTGTTAAGAAGATCTTTACAAAAATGTACCATTCATTTACATGAAAGACAAAATTTACTGAATAAACGAGACAGTGTCAATCTATAACGTTATGAATCGAGTATTCTTTTTAAAGTATGTCGTGTGCCTTGGCCGGTTTTCAGAAAAAATGACATCACTTTTATAAATAGAATGAATTTGTAGCGCAGATTGCGACATTCAACGTTTACCAGCAACAATCAATTGTATGATAATAAAATTGATATGGTATACCGCAAAGAATTTATTGTTAGACGTCTTCAAACGGTTTTTAGTTTGTCTACGAGTAGAAGTTAAAAACATTTTTTGAATCTGCACGAGGAGAAGGCCCTTCTCACTTACTTCTGAAAAGTAACTTTGTTTTAGCTTCTGATTTTTTGTAAGAAGCAAATATGATTGTGGAAAGTTACAATGATTTTAAATGTATGCTGCAGCTTACATGTAAACATAAAAGCAGAGTAAAAACTGTAATAGAATTTACTCAAACGTATCAACGAGCTCGAGAACTCTGGCTTTTGATTTAACAGATTTTTTTCTAAATGGCAGATAATTGAAATTCAAGTTTAACATGGCCTTACATGTACGTGTTTGTATGTTGTTCGTACGATCTATCATAAATGAGAAGGACTACTGTTTTCTGATGTCATCTACCTTATTTGACATCTAGGATGATAGAAATCTGAAACAGATATAATACCAAACCTATATATCACTTTTTATATTATTTATCATATAATGATTGATATTGATATCCCTCTAAGAATGACCGCCATAGATCACTCTATGTTTTATATGTGTATATTCGTCGGCATTTTCACTTTCACTGCAATTAAACTCAATCATCTAGTGGCTCTGTGAGAGTGCACATTGTCGGGGCTGCATTCTGGTCTTGATTTTTCCTTTTCTTTTCTATTTATGTATTGTGTTTGCAAGTGATAATGAATAACTTATGACTATTTCAGTTAAAATGGACTGAATGGTCAACAAAGACCAGAACAATATAGCACTATTGATATCAAGTACAGGACGAGCTTTTGCAGATGCCACATAACATTTGACATTAAACTGTGTGTTGCACAAAGCCCTACTTCATGTCCGTATTTGTTTATCCTTATTTTTTTTAGCCAAATACCCACTTCTTCCCCACCGCTTAGATAACTGTTTCCGTCAGTGACTTTGGATGTTTTCATATAAAGAAATTACAAGCATCCAGCTAACTTATATAATATCATTGGTTCTCTTCAGTTACCAGCTTGTGTCTGAAATAATGCCAGAAGGGGCACCCAATGTCTTCCTCCTCCAGTCCAGCTGGATAGTCACCACTTAGCGTCGGTGTAACTTAAAGCTCTACCAAACAGTTAATTAATTAAAAGCGGTTACATGAAACCCGTCATTAAAAATTTACCTGCATCTTAGTAGATCTATTTGTAATTAGTAATAATACAAATCAGGTTTAGACACATCATTGGAATTTGGTTAAGGTTTTCATGTATAAGTGTCATCTAACCAGATTTATGTCATACTAATATAACTAGTAATATAATGTTACACATATTCGGAAATGTTCAGACAAATGATCTTTATTTCATATTGGTTTTGTGGGGGGAAAACAGATTTTTCTATTATACACTTTTGTATTTTACAGTTTCCTTTATTTTACACAATTGTATTATTTTGATTCTACAGTTGTCTTTATTTTAAACCATTGCAAAGAAATCAAAACAATGAATATGAGGTACTTATATTTTGTATCAGTTGAAAACATTAAAAAAGTTATAAAGCGTACACGTTGTTCTTTTGCTTTCTTGCGAAAACAGCTTACATTCATTCAAACAGACAAGAATTATTATCATAATATTTTAAAGGTAAAAGTATTTAGCCACCTCCAAAGGGTTATGAGCTTTAGTACTATTTCCGTTAGCGTTGTTTGATATTGCCGAATTGCAAGAACGTTAAAAGATAAAACCCGTAGTCATCAAATTCCAACACAATCAAAAGTTTGTGTGTGTAATTTTAAACTACCAAACTAAACAGCTGATGATAAAAAGGGGTTGTTGAATAAGTTCATCGAAAAGTATTTAATCTTAAAGTTAGTATTAAGGATTCCGTTTTCCCCTACTTTAAGTACAGGGTATGATGTAACATTAAAAGGTCTATTTTACAAAAATAGAATTACAGTATAATTGTATGTAATTAGTACTTCAAATCATCTTAGTTTTAAATAACACAACCTTAATTTAATGTGTACATTTTACCAATTCCATGGGCAAGTTTATGATATTGTTGTTCTTCCATTAATTAGATAGAAATAAATAAATAAATACTTACTAAGTGCAGTTGTGAAAAATGTTGTTTTTTTAGTGGCAATCAAAACAATCCGTTGTATCTATTCACTTAAATAATTTTAACGACAATGAATAAAATAATATTTAATTGCTGAATCTAGGGCTATAGAATTTTATTTGCAAACAATCAAAGATATTCAACTTTATAACGTTATTCCGTGGAATACAGGTATTCTTTTAACTGACCATTTTCAATGTTTATCTATGGCAAATGAAGCAGCATTTGCAGAATTAAAGTACTCGGTGAACTATGATTCATGCACGATGACTTATTGTATGTTTCGCGTACTTGAAAGGTCAAACATTCACTAATCAACCTTTTGGGTTTTTAGGATCCACTAAGAGCTGGTGCGCCTGGTCTCTAATGTTCGATATTGATAGGCGTGGACCACTGTCGTATATAACAGAGCCTGCAACATTTTTTTTTATTTTTTGCTGTTAGTGCGTTCTTTCAGATTTTCAGTTTTCTATTTCATACTTGTCAAGAGTAAATTACCTATAAGACCCAAAAATAAATAGTGTTCAATGTTTTGTAAATATTATATTACATTATAAGAATAAGAAACATATAAATTTGATAAACAGCAAAAAATATCTTCGTATTCATAAAAGGTTCATATTCTTAATATTTAATTTTCTTACTTTGCAAAAATGCTTTTGTCGTTGCCGCCCATATCTGTAAAACAATATTTTCTCGGACCGTGCAATCAAGCATTTTATCTATCAAATAGTTACGTTCACGAAAAATGTAAATAACTTAAATGAGATACATCATCAAAATAAGAGTTCCTAACTTTTTATGCGCCCCTTTCACTTTCAAGAATTTTAACAAACCGTTGGCGTTTTCAAAGAGCGTAGTGATACTGTGGTAATTGGCCGAATTACAGGTGGTATAAAAGCCGTACATTTACCTAACCGGCATCAGTCTTCTCTCACACTCTGCAGTGCCACAATGGTGACAGGCAAGTGTTTTCTCGTTTTGGCTCTGGCCTCAGTCGCGTTGGCGAAAGTTGTAGATATGGGAACTTGTGAACAACAAGTTGCTGCGCTCGAGGAGCAGATGATCGAGAACCAAAAACTCAGGATTGAACTTTTAGACAAAATAGAAAAACTTTACGATGAATTGGAAATGAACGAGGATGGAGAGGGTAAGTTTCTTTGCAAAAGTTATTTTCTCTTTTTATTTCCATTTTTTGTGTCTTTGACTTAATAATTTGATGAATACGAAGTTCAAAAGGTTTATAAATAACTTTTCTTCTCATTTGCTTTTCTAACAAATCTTAAGGGGTCGGTCATTTTGTAAACAGATACATGTATTTTCAAGAGCTTAGACAACACTACTAAACTGTAACCATATGTTGTTTTATTTTTTTTTTATTGAAATGCTTTACCATTCCATTCAAAAACGTATAAACATAACTCTTGATAAGAGTATCTCTTTTATACTAGAAGTATCGTAATGTTTTTTGTAATGTTTTTATTGTTAGTTCTTCAAGTAGAATTAATCACCTTTTTGTACTATTTATATTATGATCAATAAAGTTCTTTTAGTTAACATACAATTTTACAATTAAACTCTGCGACTCGGTGAATGATTATACGTGTACAATGCAATAAGTAAAAATCACACAAAAGCAACAACTCAAGATTTCAATTGAATTTTTTTTATAACCGAATACTAACGAAAGTTCAGAAGGGAACACGCTTCTGTTTGTTTTTATTTTATTATATTATTTAATGGGACAATGGGATTGATATTTTGCAGTTCCTTAAAAATTAGCATGCATATTCAACAAATATGTAGTTTTTTTATATATGACTTTTTCATAACTATGTCAAACAAAAGTATATTGAAAAAAGAAAGTTCACGATGCGATGTCATGATAAATGCATTTTTTTTTCATTTTTCATTTTATTTAAATGCAATATTATATGGAATGTTATATTTCTGATAAAGTCATTGTACATCTATATTTGAATTTAATGAATATTTTGAAAAACAATTGCATGATATGAGATGTGTAAATTTCATAAATATAAAAGATTTTCCAGAATCTATTTGATAAAAAATCATTTACATTTACAATTTTAAATTATCAAATTAAGAATTAAATTTTTCATGAGTTAATAGCGGGCTTACTGCTTAAGTCGGTGCCAGACGGCGTGGACGGTAGCTTGCACTCACCACTACCGTCCACAGACGCAATGAAACATACCTTGAAACCTTTTATAATTTGTCGTTTTGGGTGTTCTTTATTGATATCGTTTTTATTTAGCAAACAAAATTGATATAAATGAAATTTCCATATCTTATATTCAGTATGACATGCATCAATAGTGTTTCATATCTGAAAAGCGGAACTTTGGTAACATTGATAAAATATTTGTAGATATTGTGATAAAAATAAAGTGTGCAAAGATGGTGTTTCTCTTATGCAATGATGTTAAAACTTCTTTATTAAGATGTGTGTACTAATATTTTTTCATATTCAAGAAGTATGCGAAAATGGTATTAAAAATAGTGTCATATATTTGCAGATAAAGTGATAAGAAAGAAGAGAAGTTACTACCTTGCCGGACCACCAGGACCCGTAGGACATCCAGGTATGAAACCTTGATTTATTCTTATTTGCATTGAATGATTTGTGTCAATATATGTATGATTGAATGAATTATGTTTTGTTACAATTTTAAACTAAAAGTCATCTAATTTTGTTTTAAAATTTTCAATATGAAAATATCTAAACTGCGCAGCAATCGTGGTACATGACTTTAGCTAATGGTGGTATACATGTCAGGGACGTGTTGCACAAATAATAAAGCACAAAAAGACTGTTGAAAAATTTTGTGATATATCAAATAGATTTCAAAGTTTCAACCAGGTTCGAAACTTTAATATAAATACTTAGCAATATAGAATTACAAAGTTGTCAGAAATAATCTAACATGTGTTTTACGTTGTCAAATAATACATTGCACCTTCTCTCTGTGTTTTTATGCAACTTCTTCATGTATTTTTACTTTTATTTGTGTATAAATATATTTTATCATATTTTTAAAATAATCTTCAAATATCAAAAAAGAGAGCCATTGACGAGCTTAAACACGAGTTCCATTTAAAATCTATATGAACGAACCCTGTAATTAAACAATTTCAAAAACAAGTATGCAAAGACGTTATTATATCTGACATTTTCATTCGTCATATTTTTAGTATCTTCTCACAGACATGTATAAGTTTGTTTTGTATGTATTTTGATAAGATAATTAATGCATTGCAGCAAAATTTTAAACGTTTTAGAAACATTCTTGTACACAAGTGTAATATTATAGAAAAACATAATTGTAATATGTTACGTCAGATGATGACGTATTTTACAAGCGTTGATTACAAATTTCAGGTGAACCAGGTCTCCCTGGTCAAGACGGACTTCCAGGACCACCAGGTGTCCAAGGCGAAGGTGGAGATAAAGGTGATGTTGGACCAAGAGGACCCGTCGGACCACAAGGTCTTCAAGGTGAACAAGGACCCGTCGGACCAGCTGGACCACAAGGTGAACGCGGAGAGTTTGGAGCTCCTGGATTCCCAGGCGAGAAAGGAGATCAAGGACCCCAAGGACCCCCAGGCGTACCAGGGCTTGATGGACCTCAAGGACCAAAGGGAGACCAGGGAATGTTTGGCCCTCCAGGCCTTCCAGGACTTAAGGGAGATCAAGGCGAGCCAGGAGCACAGGGACCATCAGGTGAACAGGGACTTCCAGGAGAGCCAGGAGAACAAGGTGCACCCGGAGTTCCAGGTCAACGCGGACCTCAAGGTCACCCTGGTGCACAAGGCCCATATGGAGCACCAGGACTTCCAGGAGCTAAGGGAGATCGTGGATTCGCTGGCCGCCCAGGAAGCCCAGGACCACAAGGTTATCCATACGTTGCTGCTGCTGTTGCTGCACCAATGCAGGCAAAAAGTATAAAAGGTTAATTAGAACTTTAATTATCACGTGCAATTATTCCAGCTAATCCGGCCCGGTCGGGTTGGTAATCTGCGCTTTATCCTTATTTATCACTTTATATGAAAACTAAACGTTACATATACCTCTTTCAGTAAATTCCACTATTTAATCAGATTTTGTTTTCTTTATAATTTTTCTTTCTTTTTGCACTTTTGTTTAGTTCTTTTCTCTGTTTGGTTTATCGATTTTGCTTTCTTTGTCTTATATAGTTTCTCTATAAGATATAGCTTATGTTATGTTCAATTTAAGTTCCATTTCTTTTTCAACTTTATCTGCAAATTTGTTTGATTTTATTTTGTTCACTTTTTATGTTTAACATCAAAGTTGTGTGATATGTCAGGCCGGTGCTGAGGGCGTAAATGAAATAAAATGTAAAATTCTGGTATTTGGTGTTACTTTTGTATAGTAATTGCTTCTTTAAAGTTGTATAAAGAGTAATGGTACAATCAAACTCGTCGACAATTAACCTAAAAGCATCAATGGCAAGTAGTCTGGTTCAATGCCTTCTATTCTGCTATAACATAGTAGCAGGGGCAGGTAATCCAGACAAGCTGACTGTGAATTATTTGCCCTCCTTTTGTTTTGGTTTCGAATGGTCCATATGAGGAAGCTATCAAGATAGAAAACAGATAGATGATGGTTCTACTCCGGTACATGCCTTGTGTCTGAAACAATGTTTTGTGGAAGGGAATATCGCATCAGTACATAAGCTTTAATGTTATTATATCACCTTATAACAGTGTCCGTTTAAATTTTGCCAATTTTTAACTGAAAATAATGCCAGCCTTTTTTCACTATTATTAAAACATTGCTCGAAATGCGCAATATGGAACTGTAATTTTATTAATGACTTATGATAATATAGAGTTGAATGACACCTCGACACTGTTTAGGTCATATAACAATATTTAAGCTTAATTTAGTTTTGGAAGACCAGTGTAATCGTAAGCTAGCTTAAAAGTAGAAACACCGGCGTTCCTTTAGCTAGCACATTAAAAAATCCAAGGTCCCCGGGATTTAAACGTACAGCGTTGAGGGGCAAGTGGATTGAATTCAACGACCTTTATCACTAGGCCACTGACGCCCCCTAAATAGCTCATAAAAACTAGCAACATAAATTGTTTCCGATGATTTGTTGTTCCGATTCTTCACTTGACTCTGTGAATTTTGGTATGAAAGGGACAAGAGTTTTGTTTTTATCTTCAAAATATCAATTTTATTTTTCATCATCACAGAAAATATGAATGTACAAACCAATTTCAATAATATTTTTGCCTATGACTTACAGGCCTTATTATGTACGAACAATTAGATAAAAATAGACTTGTAAAAATTAATCTCGTTAACTAAATGTTTCCGGAAAAATAAATTAACAGACAATCCACACAAACACTTTTTTTTTTTCGGAAAAATAAATAAAACTTAATGTTCAGCATTTGCGCTGAAACATGTCTTGTATCTTTATTTTCTTACTTACTATAAAAATATTTGATGATAACGTAAAAAAAATAGAAAAGGAAAAGCTTATACTGGTGACGGAAGACAGCGGGATACTCCCCACCGCCAAACAGTCTGTCAGACACAAGAGGATTAATTTTTTATATAGCTGAATGTTTTTCACCGCATTTTGAAGCGGTTTTCAACGTTAAAAACAATATAGATTTAGAAAAAAATCTCATAACAATAGAGTGATTGATTAATTGATTTCATTCGAATATAATGGAATTAAATTGAGAGTGTCGCGTGCTTATACACGTGGTTATACAGTTTATGTTCTATTTTAGCATGTTTTTAAGTCTCGATACCAACAAAAAATATTTTAAAAAAACGTGTATATACACATATATGTGATTTTTCACAAGGCATATGATTATAAAGCAACTATTACAACGAAATTAGAATATTAGTATGAGGATTTGATCATGACTTGATCAATGATTTAGTTGTACATGTAGTTTCTGCTTCAGTCATTAAACGGCAAATTGTATGAGCAAATAATATACCGAATTTGAGAAAAAGAAAATGCAAAGTGCAATTAGACAATATATGTCCATATAAGGCAAGTGTCTATAACAGACTCGTGGTAGGTCATTCGCAATACATATTATTGAATAAAAGTTGTTATCTCATAAGCGGCCAATCATGAATCATTGACGATGTATATTAAGGGTATGTTTCTACCAAATTGTCTGAATGGACATTGGACATTGATCGTAGAGACACTGGTCCATCCAAATAATCCGATTGTTCATGAACGTATTGCACAAAAATTGAATGATAGTTAAGATACTTATATCTTGTCACTTTTTTAACTGTAAGGATTTTATATGAATATTTATGAATACTAATTATGGCATATAAAATATGATTTGATTTGATTTCCTTCTATTTTTGTGATGGGGTGTGGGTATCATTCCGTGATCTGCATCATTTATAATTTTGCCGTTTTGGGCGATCTTTAATTAGGAATTCCAATTTTTTCTATTGAATAATGTTTGTAATTAAGATACGCAATGTATTCGTGGCGTTCCATAAAGTTTATGTAAGCATTTCGATGAAGGCGTTTTAAGATTTTAATGCTCACAATTTATGTTTGTAATATAATTGAAGATCAGCCATTTAATTTTATATTCCAAATTCTTATCAAATTCTTATCAAATGCAACTTCATTTGGTAAAATGCATTTTATACGTGTTATACATACATTTACATGTATAATGAACCTTGCCAAGTTATTTTAAACATTCAGTCAAGTTCAATTTTGAAATAAGAGCCACTTGTCACTCTGGTGTCTTAGAGTACAATTTGTTAGAATATGTTTGAAAGTGGACGATACTTTAATTGGGCTCGAATCCGTGATCCCTAGGTTGAAATGCAGACGACTTGCTAACAAGGTCATAGCTACACGCCACACACTGCATGTTTACTCCAGGTACTATATTTGAATCCATATTTAAAATAGAACATATATGAAAGGTTTGTTCTAACAATTGAAATGATATTTAAAAACGTAAAAAAAAATATTTTTAAGGGTGTATTTCCTGTGACAGTCAGACGCAGATTTAGGCGAATCTATTATGTTATTATTTTTCGCATCCTGGACTCGCACAATGATCTACAAAACTTTACTATAATATTTATTGTCGATTTTAGATGTACACACTTTTTAGGTTATATATATACCCGGGTGATTATATAGAGGGGTCAGGGCTTGCGGTTTGCCCGCTGTGTATTTCATTCAGATTGTTCGGGACTGTAAAAATAATGTGATGATCAAACGGTTTGGCATTTTCTTTAAAATGGTATATCATATGCAATCTTTTTATTTGTTTTAATTTGGTTTTACGTCTAAAGGACATATGGCGACTTTCCAGCTTTATTGAGGGAGACGCCATGTGCTTCGCCTCACGAACGCCCACCACGGACATTCCGTAAGATGGCTAGATAGTTTCTTCACATGAACTATTCAAAGTACCTTGCGGGGTTCGAATCCAGACCGGTTAGAGGCAGGTGGTTTGAAGTCAATGGCTTTGACCACTCGGTAATAGACGCCCCATTTGATTAAATGAAATTCAGTATTCAATCTATCAATGTTGGAAGTTTACAAAATGCAAATTATCAAGAACACATTTCTGAATGAGAAACACATATAATAATGAAGCATGAACAAACGAAGAAGGGAGGTAACCTGGAAAAATTAAACTGTCTACTAAATTATTAAGGGGTAAAACAATTAGTCGTAGTTTTTTATATATAAAATACCGAATTTTGAATACTCTAAATGCCTTTATCTTTTATACATTGTATATAAGAATAAAGATCAGCAATAGAGACAGCAAAAAAGTACAAATTGTTTCTATACAAGTCATTGATTGTCAAAAGTATCCAGTAAACTCTACCTGAAAAAAAGATCATCAAATGCATATTCATTTTATCATTTTTACATTATAATAAACTCATTTTATAACAGTGGTTTATTAGCAATATAGGTTGTTTAGATTGCTCTCATGTTATCCGACTTATAAGAATGCGAGACGGAAATTTCTCTGGCCTAATAACTGAAAGGTATCAAAAATATCTAAAATCAAGATTGCCGTCTTCTCGTGAGTCTGCCCTTTGAAATCAAGAGTTAAAATGAACGCTTCGTTAACATTTCAGTCTGGTTGACTGGATGCTTGCAAATACAAACAACTATCTACAATCTACGTGATGTTTTGCTTAGCGAGCAAATTTTCGATGTTTCTAATAAAACAAATTGAAAATTGAAGGAAAATGCGATGCCAGGCTGTCAGGATATGTAATTTGATTAGCGTAACAGTTAATATTTTTAAAACTAAATCTAACAGAGTTTAGAATAATAAACAAAGACCAGGCTTTGCGTTATTGACATCTGTATTTGATTTTTTTAAATTTGAATTAATTACTGGTCAAAATAATTATAACAGAAAGGACAAAAGTGCATTCAGCTCCGTAATCATGTTCATTCATATAGTTACGCATGTTTTTAATAATAAAAAATGTTTCAATCTAGTAATTTGTATAATTAAATTTCGCGCTTGCCAAAAGCAATAGCAACTGTTAAAATAATATTAATCGAATGATACAATGACTTCAACGATATTTAGTTGAAAAGAATTTGCTTAAAAAACTCGCATAAGTAAAATGCTTAATACATTGTGATTAAACAATATCTATTTTAAACAATCTCTAATAAGATGAAAATAGACGTTTTATTTTAGGTAGCATGGAAATGCTTACAAAACAGCCGTTTTTCTAAAATAGCAACATAAAGAGAAAGTGTATATTAATATCAACATTTTGTAATAGTATATCATACAACAGCATAAAATAGCTTTGTAGCGATATACTGCAGCATATAAAAACATATAATAATTAATTATAATCACTGACATGTGTACAATGGCGTAAAAACATTAAACCCTAAATAATTCTTTTATAGAGGACAATAACAAACAAGCAAAAGAGCAACAAAAATAAAATATTAATATTCCAAGATTCCTGGTAGTGATAGTTCCTACTTTTAACACTGGATGTTTTGACGTGGTCGGATAAGATGTTCGAGAAAAATACTGATGTAAGCAAATTTTAATGGTAAATAGGTCAAATTCAGTAAGAATTCGGTTAATGGAAATTCGTGATCTATGAGTAAAGAAACTATTTCATGTCTTCTATATCTTATTAAAGATTTGTTATTAACAACAAGTAGATTATGGTGATGTTCTTCTATGACGCCCACTTCTCTTCGCCCCGCCTAACATTACCAAAAGTCTTTGCGCATCTGCGAAAATGTTTTTATCAAACACGGTTTTAAACTATCAGTCATTAAGGTTGAGCGTCGGAATGAAGTAACTGACCAATGAGCAGTCAAACCCACCATTATTTACAGCTATATTTCCTCTAGAAACGTTCCCAGAATTTGTAATTCTATAAACTAAGCACCTCCCACATTTCATCTGGTTCAGTTTTTATCGTCTTCAAGGATAAGAGCTTCATATCCACTAAGATCGTCGAGAAACCAGGCAGTGAATTGTGAAGAAATTTGGATTCTTTTTTTCACAATGGCAGGCCTAACATTATTAGTATTGTCTTTAGTTGTATTTGTAAGTTCGGAGAAGTTCAGTCGATCCGAAAATAAAGATGACATCGTTCTGAACTGCAAGTGAGTTGAATTTGTATTTGCACTAAAATAGAATTTGGAAGACAACTAGAATAGATAATTATCATTAAGACACATTAGGACAAGTGTATAATTTGCCTTAAGTTAAGAAAGTCTTCAGTCGTATAATGACAATGAGTCTAGAAAATTGAAAGTTATTAATTGTATGAATTATATACAACTATATTTAACAAATTAAACGGCAATACAATATAAATGATTTATTAATCTTACATCGTTCATGACAAATAAATAATTGTCTGAAGAAAATTTAATATAGTTTAATAATTTGTTTGTAACATGATAGTCAATATTAATTATTTAAATTTATGTTTAATTAACATGTAAATCATACAAGAAATGTAATGTTCCGTTGTATAGTAATCTATGTTAGACTTTGGCCACTTAAAAATTTCGAAAAATAGAAAGCCATTCGTTTATTTTTTTATATTTGTATCGAGTTATATTTAAAATATTACGTGCTTATTAAAAGTTACATAGTCGGAAGGATCATTAGATAGAATTTTATCAAACTTTAATTATATGCCAAAAATCTAGTTATGACGTAATAGAAAACATGACTCAAGAAGTTAAGAAATTTGTTTCATCCGATTTAATGTGCAATTCAATTTTATGAGTTAGGTATTGATTACGTTACACAACAATATTACTTTATATGATGATGATGATGATGATGATGATGATGATGATGATGATGATGATGATGATGACATTTCATGATACATCCATAATAAACATATAATTGTAACAAACTTGCGTCCATCTTTATTTACTGGGATCATAAAATCCAAGGTTTAAAAGTAAAAGTAGCTCATATTAGTTTCCAACTTTCAGATATTTTTAAACATTTTCCAGCAAGTAAACATTGTTGATATTAATTCACAACTACAGGTTACTTGAATATTCACGTTAATATTAAAGCATTTATTTATTTGAATGAACGAAAAGTATGAAGAATAGAAGAAATATGAGGTACTATATGGGTCCATGTATTCAAATATCTAAAAATATCTCTTTTTTTTCCAGCCGAGTTCGTTCATCGTCAGAAGCGTCACGTGATGTTTCAGCCTGGTCCTGGAATGAAGATGAATGCCCCACCCCTCCTTGCCGGCAAGATTATACCCACGAACGAGGTACCAGCAGGACCACCAGGACCTAAAGGTATACTTGATGATAACACATTTATCAGACTCATTTTCATGAAGATCTTAACAATACATGTGCATCATATAGTTTTCCATTGCAAGGCAATGTGTCCTTTGATTGTTCCTGCTTATAGTTGAAGAAGAAAATACATTATTGCGATTGCTGTTTCTGTTAGTTTGGCATGTTACGTAATGTGGAAAAATAGTTACGGGTAAAATGACAAAAATTTTCACGGTGAATTGTTTAAAAAAGGTAAGGAATTTAAAATATGATGGAATATGGTATAATATGCAAGAAAAAATAGCTGACGTCCTTCGGGACGATAATTCCGATTCGAACCGCATACATATATTATTAATTTCAAACGAGTATGATATTATTGTAAGATATTACTTCTTTGTCAAAGATTTGACTATATATTACAGGTCCACCAGGTCAACCCGGACAACCCGGCCGTGAAGGACCACGTGGTATGCGAGGTGACAAGGGTCAAAAGGGTTCTGAAGGAACGCGCGGTCCACCAGGTCCTTATGGCTTTCCAGGAATAGATGGTCCCCCAGGAAACCATGGTCCAAATGGCCTCAAAGGAGAAATGGGTTTTACAGGATTCCCGGGTATCCGAGGAGACTGGGGAGATGAAGGTCTGCAAGGTCCTGATGGACAAGATGGAGTTGTCGGACCAAAAGGCTATTTTGGACATCCAGGGTTTATGGGCGCATTTGGATACTCAGGTCAAAAGGGTTATAAAGGTTTTACCGGAATAACAGGACAAAAAGGTATACAAGGTATTGAAGGAGCATATGGAATACGAGGAAAACCAGGATCACCAGGGCCAAAGGGATACGAAGGGCCAGTTGGACAGAGGGGTGGTGATGGAATTTCAGGTTCAAAGGGTACACGAGGTGACCAAGGCCCTCCTGGACAAAATGGTCTTCGTGGAACCTCCGGCGTTGCATACCCTGCATATTACGCACATGCTTTGGGTGGATACCCAATGAATGCTGCCGCGCCAAGATATGCTTACCATCCGGCTGGAAGCGTTTCAAAAACCGGACCACCAGTACTCATGAGCGCACCAAGTAAATACGGTGCGGTCTACCAAGCAGCTCCAATACAATCAAAATATGCTGCACGTGCAATGGCAATTCAACAAGGATATCAAAAGCAAGGATAAAAAATACATCTCAGACAATATAAAAAAAAATCAGTACATGGCACAACTTACTAATATTTATTTAACATCTTGTAAAAATTATAGAGTAAACTTTCTACATTGAGAGCGCATCATCGCTTGAACAGTTGAATATTATTTTACCTTCAATTTTTTTCAAAACAAAAGAAAACGTTTCGAACAATACTTCTATCAGAATATTTGTTACATCATATTCTGCTATTTATAACACCATTTTATGCAAAAGACGAACATTTCATCTAAGAATTTGTTTAGTCCTTTTTTGTTATTTTATTGCATGTTAAAAAAGATACCTGCAAAAATAGACTAAAGTTAACATTTTGTTTTAAGCAATTTTCTCTGATACAAAGTAAAGCAACATCATGCCTCATTACTTGAAACATCATTTTACATGTAAAAAAGAAAAGAATAAGTAAATAAAAAAAAAGAAAAACAAAAAACGTTTTCTGTGTTGCTTTTTGATGTAATAATGTTTTATACAACAATGTATTTGTTAAAGATTAAAGGGAATTATCATTAGTGCTTAGAGGATTTTCTTTTGTCATATACATCGTCTTTGATGTAGATTATTAAGTATTTTGATGCTGCTTGACTGGCATTTTAGTCATCTGATACTTAGTGTCGTCCTCATAATGCCAGGGTGTAAACTGCAAATGATGGTGCCAGGCCGTTGATGGTGTGCCTTTCATAAACGTGTACATTTTTATGATATTTATATTAATGTTTGCCCGTATTATATAAGAAAATAAAAAGAGAATCTATTCAAATAAGAGGTCATAGTCGATGGAAGTTGAGCACTAACACTATTTATTAAGGACCTATATCATTATTCAAGACAACGCTGGGTGGTCTGAGTGTATGGGTCCACTTTCAGCGTATAATTTCATAAATATAGGGTAGGTAAAATACTAAATTAGGTTCTTGAAGCCATATAGATACACGTACACTGAATAAAAGAGTCAGAGCGTGTAAGAGAGACAACCATTGAGGATACGTTATTTAGTCATCTCCCTTGCACATGTTATGATGATAATTTATCCACTTACAAGAACATAATCATTAAAATATTTCCTGAATTGATCCGAGACAATAGAATTACAAAATTGTAAAGGCTCAAAAGAGATTATACTGGTCTATGTACGTCTATGATTTTTGTTAAAAGTCTCGAAATGGGATATTTCATTTAGTATTTGTTTTAAGTTTAATATCATTCATCTCCAAACATTTTGATACATAAATGAGTACGGAAAAATCAAACATTTTTTATACATAAATGAACACTGTACAATAAGAGAAAGCAGCTCTTCGCTTCTCAATAGTATAAGTCTGTAGCAACTTACGAGGTTCACTGTACACACGGTGTTAGGGAAGCACATGCGTTACAGTATATATAGGTGAATGAGTATGAGCGGTCTGATATTTCTGTCGTTAGGGACATTACCCCAAGTTTGGTTGTATATTTACTCCAAAAGTCTTATCTGTGGGATCTAAGTTTCGTTTCATGTTTGAACCAATTAAAAATAATAGTAGACAAAGCAAGAGCTCGTGAGAGTTATATAACTCTCCGCTTTATCGTGTGATGTATGTTTACACATAAGAAAATTCATATATTCTAACACGTTGTTCTGAATTAAGTCAACAATATTGTTTGTTATTCTTATAAAAATGGAATACATTTGAGCCGAGTCACGACAAAACCAACATAATGGGTTTACGACCAGCATGGATCCAGACAAGCCTGCGCATCCTCGCAGTCTGATCAGGATCCATGCTGTTCGCTTACAAACCCTATAACAAGTAGAGAAACTGATAGCGAACATCATGGATCGTGATCAGACTGCGCGGATGCGCAGGTTGGTCTGGATCCATGCTGGTCGCAAACCCACTATGTTGGTGTTGTCATGACGCGGCTCATTTATTTCTTGCATATCAGACTGATGTTTCCGTGGCAGGAGGGGGATAGGTGAGTTGCGTGCCATACAACACCGTTATTTGAGCCCATTTTATGAATGAAACTGCGTGCCTAGGATGTATTGAATGACATTGTGAATTTATACGATATTGTAAGGAAATGGATGAAATGACATAAATTTCCATGAAAATTTGTTTTCTTCAGTTTAAGCATTTAGAATATGGTAGAATATGGTAGGATATGCAAGAAAAAATATCTGGCACGTGTTTGCGGTTCAGATCAGAATATCCGTCCCTCCGGTACCCGCACATGGCCCCTTCTGAACGGATATTCCGAACCGAACCGCAACATATGACATATATCATTAGTTAAATATACTGAAGAAATTGAGACAAATACAAGATAAGAGTTTAAAATTTCTGATCTGAAGACGTTTATTGATACATGATTAAAGCATATGAGCTGCGTCATGACAAAACCAACATAATGGGTTTGAGACCAGCATGGATCCAGACCAGCCTGCTCATCCGCGCAGTCTGATCAGGATCCATGCTGTTCGCTATCAGTTTTGCTACTTGTTATAGGGTTGGTAAGCGAACAGCATGGATCGTGATCAGACTGCGCGGATGCACAGGCTGGTCCGGATCCATGCTGGTTGCAATCACATTATGTTGGTTTTGTCGTGATGCGGCTCATATGATGAAATTCCAAACGACAAAAACATGAATAAACAAAATTAAAATGACTGTCAAGTACAAAGTTATTAATATTAAACATATTAACTTATTTTACTTTTTTATCACCGGTCGAAGTTTTGTTCAGTACAGGAGCAATGACATTTATGTTGATATTAATACTTTTTTGACAGACGACAAATAATAAAGAAAATTAAAACGCAAACAATTATTAGATAAATATCAATAATAAAAGATATTCCAAAAAATTGCAAATACAATATAGCCGAGGTATGCTGCAAGTGCTATCCACCACAAATAATGTTCATGAAGCTTCTGTTCAAAGTTTTTTAACACAACCAGTCCAATTGTAAGGCCAGCAAGCGCTCCCATGATATGAGCAGTGTATCCTACAGGAGGTGCGCCAGACGCTTTCCTTGTGTACCTGTCCCATACAGCAAACCCCACATCGGCGCTTGCTAAAATAATTAATACATAACATTAATAATACTTAATATAAATCAAATCAAATTCATTTAATAACATGTACATTCAATAAGTTAAAGCTATTTAAAATATAAATATATTGAAAATAATCAAATGGTGGCCACTTTTCAAAAGTAACTTGGTTTCTTAGTAAATGTTTAGTGTTACTGACCGTCGTACCATAGATACAATGAGAAAATATGAACATATTCGAAGTGAAAATGATATCGATTTTGGGAACCATAGATTATGGGAACCATAGATTCGTATGTAATGCCAATTTTTCAATTATAACCCAGACGGTTATATAAATCTTTTGTCCGCAAAATGTTTAGATCATAATAATAATTCTGATATAATAATTGAGAGTTATACTCAACCTTTGCAGCCGATGCCATTTAAAGATAATATTTTCTCCGAGAATCATGTGAAAATCTAAACAGATAACTCAGTAAGTAAATTGGTAAGGTAGAAATAATTTTACTGGTTTTACATTTGCCTTTGCCACACGTGTAAAAGCCAGACAAGCTTGCACATACGTGAAGTCCGACCCAGATTCTATACCATTGATAAGTTTTGTATTTGATATTACGTGAAAAAATCCCTCAGTCATTTAATGTACTATTCCTAGTTAAAGCTGTGCAAATCCATCATGCAAATTTAGTAGGTTAAGGGTTAATAAGATACGAGATATGAGGAAAAAAAATGAAATCCGGTACCTATTGTGAAAATTGCTGCCAATTTAAGGATCCCTAGTTCCATGTTGGTGTAATTCTGAAAATAGAGCATAAAGACTGAAGAAAGCAAAGAAAAAGAATGAGACACATAAACATTACATTTCTAGCAAGACATTCGTATTTTAAGACAAGCATGATGATAACATATTTTAACGTTAATTTACCATATGCCAGAAGCACATTGAACATGTCAAATCGTTTTTAAGAATTTTGCCCTCAAGGTAATTCTTTTATTAAACTTTTAGAAACAATTATTCAATTCTTTCAAGTAATGCATATTGTGTACAATATTGTTTTCATGAAGTATAACAAATGTTTAGATAATTAATCATTTTAGAAAGTTTATTAAGGCTGGCAATGCAACCAGTTACGTATGTCAAAAATCTTATCATCGTATTTCAAAATATTAATTCTGAAACAGTTTCTTCTTTGTATTATACGTAAACGTTTTCTCATGAAAATGAGTTTTATTACAAATTGATTTTTCAATAAAACAAAGTAAAATATAATTTTTCATCCAATGTTTCCACATTCTAGTTTCATAAAGTGACTTTTTTACTCCTAGGTTCAATCGATGAGGCAAATTTTAATATTAGAGTTTGAATTAGTTGTGGAATAATGTATCAAGGTCAAATGATTTCAAGCTTACAAGCACAATGTTGGCAAGGTGTCCAGCAAGTAGAGCATAAACGCCACCGGAAGCTCCTACAAGCACAGCGTTCATGTCAAATATTGAAGTGCCCAATGAACCTGTAGCATAAAAAATAATACTTGAACATTACAAATATGAATATTTAAGTATTTGAAAGACTGTCTAGTTACAGAGTCATGCTCAGTGTGACAAAACGTTTCACTGATTTTACTCATGTGTCGCTCTATTTGTGGTTAAAATAATGCATAGACCGGCACCGAAGAACTTTCTCCACACGTAAAGCTGGAAAGTCGTCATATACACCTAAATCACAACTTAAATGTAGACACATAGCATATTTTAGAGATATATGTGATACAAATATATTCTATATAATAAATATTCTTATTGAACAGAAACATATATGCTGTCAGAAAGAAAAACTTTTTTACATGTTGTACGATAAAAGGGAACATTTAGATATAAGTTACAAGCATAATTATATTATTATATCGCTATGTGCTATCACCGGTACATAAATATCTCAACGTTTACTGAAAACATTCACTTATTCTGTTTATTCTGCAGGGAATAACTTATTCTTTAACTTCTAAACATTTGAATTTTCCATCTTTCTACAGACCAGCATATTTTTCCAATATAAGTAAAATGTTTTGTTTTCTAATACTACAAACTAAATCAAATATGGTTCCATAACTGAATGCCTATGTCAACATTTTCATTGTCTCATCTATCTACTGCAAACATTTTGTTAATCAATCATTCTTACTTGAGATTTATTGCTTTCAACATATCTATAATAAGTCTCATATATTGTATTACAAAACTTCAAAGGTCTGTGGCAATAGTGAATGTATTTCCCAAAAGATTTCGCTATATCATTCAGGTATTGTACAAACACATTTATCTATTTCCAGCAACTCTGCTGTTGTGAATTACGGCATCCTTTGATTTTCGTCTCATTAGAATTGATATATCTTTACACGGTTATGAAAAATAGATGTTTTGTATTGTCGCAATAGTGATAACATGCTATACAAAATGTATGACATGCCTGAGTTTGAATAAAACACATATTTCATATGTTTTTCAAAACAAAACAATCTTGTATATGAAATCTATGAAAAATAAAGTAGAGTGAAGTTGAACACTTAACAGAGACTGAAAATTTGCATAATAAAATAGAGATGGAGAACGTAACCAGAATACTCGTCGTTTGTATTGTAGCATTTAGCTGTCGCACGAATTCTTTTGAATGTATAAATGTGTAACGGGGGTTGACTTTAAAAAAACAATTGAAATTATTGAATGTGATCTTGTGCCATTGTTTTGAGCAACTTTGAGTGTGGAATAAAATAGCATAAACTAAAGTTTTGTTTTTAAGTCGGCAGGGTTCAACACAATAAAATATGAGATTATACAAGCTTTTATGACCTACTGCGTATAGCATCATCGAATCGACAAGCACACGTAATAAATGTAACGCAAATATGATAATGAGCAACCTCAGGATGCCGAAAACTACTTACTTAAAACGTTGGCTTTTGAAACGGTTACAATATCAAAATACCTAACTGATCAAATTGTATTTTACAGTTTGGCAAACAATGCAACTGCACAGTTTAAAATATGCATCCTTCGAGAATAATTTAACGTTTAAATGTTGAATTTTGCTTAAGCCGGTGCTACGGGGCGTGGACAGTAGCTTGCAATTTCCACTACCGTCCATGAACAAACTCTATCAAACCGAGTCTGCAACATTTCCAATTTCGTTTTGCTCTATTTTTTACCAACATGTCGCTTTAGAACAAAAAAAAGTATTTGATTATTAATCCTAGTCAAATATTGTTGATGTAAAATTTCTTACCAGCTAAAACACCAGCAAAATAAACAACAGCGATGCGGCATGATCCATGAATCATCTCCAATGGAACACCAACGACAATTTGTACAAGCATGTTGAAAAACAGATGAACCCAACTGAAACAAAAAAAGAAAATCCTATTTTTATTGACAAAGCATGTTGAGAAAAAGATGAATCAAAGCAGAACAAAGAAGCAACAACTTGCATCTTCTCTCAAAGTTGTTGGGCAAAAAATAAAAATTAAAACACCACCAATTGCAACCATAGTACTGAAAGAGCACAGTCGTGCTAGTTTAAGAAATATTGCAGGTCAAATAATCACCTATGAACAGACTAAATTGAAATCTATCTTCTATTCCATGTTTAATGTTGAATACTGCTTAACTCGGTGCTAGAGGCGTAGACGGTAACTTGCACTTTCAATTACCGTCCATGAACAGGCTTCCTCAAACCGAGCGTGCAACGTTTCCAGTTTTGTCGGGGTTTTTTATTTGTTTGGGTCGTCAGACCAAACAAATAATGGTAGCGAAATTTCAGAGTCTAATGTTGTTAATTGCAAATGCCGAAAGTAGTCCACTTTTTTGGAGCGGTTACTTCCCTTTTGTATGTACACTAAGGCCGAAAAATTCAGGGGAGATCACTGCGTAAAGATGGTCAAAGACAGGCGCATCAATTTTCAAGCAAAGTAATTCCCGAATGGTCAAAGATTTCTAATATTGTTGTATTGTATTTTCTGATCGAAAATAACTAAATACAAAGCGGACATTCAATCTCTGACACAGAAGTTTACTACAAACCTAACAACAAGTAGTTCTCAAAACAGCTAAAAACTAGCGATTTAAAAGAAAGAAATATTTTATTTTGTTACAAGTATCCAACAAATTACAACGCATTTAAAGTTAAACAATAGCGTTGGCTTATAGAATTGTCAATAAATGCACAATCACAAATTACGCGGATGAATATGATTTTATCAATGAAAATACTATTTTTAGCCATGTTGATTACCGAATACTACACAAACCGAGTAGTGAAATATATAGATTCTACATGCCGGACCGTTTGGGCGAGAGGATTTTTGCTAAAATATTTACTTCAATTATAAACAACAGGTTTACCCTGAACAAAATACCACGAAATTAATAAGGATTACAAACCCGAACTGCAATGGAAGTTCTAAATTTAGAATGACTTGATATTATTCAGACACACTGTTTATAACTTTTCCGTGGTACAGTGGTAACGCGCTCGCCTCGTGAGTGAGAGGTCTCGAGTTCGTATCCCAGTCGAGGAAACTTTTTTTTTTGTTAAATTCTTTTTTTTAAGTGTTTTTGTTAAGGAAGTAGCCATGATATACAAAGATAAAGTGTGGCTGTCGTAAAAAAAAGAACATAAATGATTTTTTGATGCAACACTAGTTATGCAGAATTCCGTATGTATCAAACTCTGGTGCCTTACGAAAGGAATTATAATACATAAAAATAAACTTATTCAGGAAAATGCATACAGATATACAGTACGATTTAGATTGCAAAGATCAGAAAATACCACAGAACTTGCAGCCGTTTGATTCTTTATAAATATACATGCTTATAGTAAGCTCCAGGATTATTTACATCTGTGTTAAACAACAGTTAAAGTCGTTACAAGCCCTAATTTAGAATAATATGGTTTTATTCAGGCCGTTCACATATAAATTCACCGTGGCTGAAGGGTTTTCGGGCTCGCTTAGGAAGCGAGAGGTCTGGAGTTCAAATCCCAGTAAAGGTTACTAATTTTTTTAAATTGTTAAAGTCAAATAAACATTGGATTGAATATCAGTGTTGCAATTAGTCTAATAGCCAATTTACTACAATAAAAACGCTGGAAAGCATTGGTGGCACTAAACATATAATCTCACAACCTGCACCTTTCTTACATTCTGAGACCCAAACAAATTCAGCGCCTTCTGTGCTTTGATTATCATTCTTTCTGGATTTCTTTATTTCTCTCTCTTTTACAGGCAAGTCTCGTTTACTTTCCCAATGTAACAAATACTCGTGTTTATTTCATGTTTTCACTCAAGGATCTCCACCTATTAGACTGTTTGAAAATATATTTATATGAAATGTTAATTGTTAAATAATAAAAGATTAGTTCAAAGTCACTCGGCACGTATATGGACCTTTAGTGAAATGGTCGCTAAGGTCAAATATTGTCTTTGTACTGTGTGTTCGAATCCCGCGACCAGAGACTTTGAATTTAGGAATTGAACTTTACTTTCTCCATTATTATAAACATAACCTTTTTCATGTAATTTACATACCCAAGGATACAAAAACTAAAAGATACATACCCTGCATGTATAAACATGTACAAAACAAATCGCCAGATTTCGATCCTCCGGTCCGGCCGGTAAATGAAGAAGCTTGTTACTGGTAATGGACCATTGATTGTTATTTTACCACTGTCCATAGAGTGGTACAGAAAACATCCCACCTAAAATATATCTGATATATAAAATCCACATTCATAATTGTCTATATTAATTGAATACCTAATTGAATACCTAATTGAATACCTAATTGAATACCAAATTGAATACCTAAAATCAACAAATACGCTATTATATATATTTTCCTTTTAAATTTTATATCATATCTGTTTATGTATCTGCAACAAGAAAAATGTTATAAGATATCTGTGCTAATGTAGCTCGACATAAAATATTTAAAAAAAAACCCAACTTGTTAGCCTTTCTTCGGAATACTTTAACAAATTTAATCTTTGATATTGTACATCAATTACTAAGAATATGAGTACACAAATACCTCAACAAATGTAATGATAGGCACAAACAAAGGCGGGGGACAGCACGCGTAGTTATCTGCATAGTACTGCCGGTCAAGGTCATCTGTCAAAAATTCCCGCGCAATTCGTTTGACCATGACCCTGAATAGTGTGTTTGGCACCGGTTGTTGATTTGGATTATACGGATATTGATAATGATCTATGGGAACCAATGGTACTCTGCCCTCGTTTTCAACAGCCAATCTGAAACTTGATGTTCTTCGATTGCTCATCTGCAATTAAATTTTATTATTTACTATATGTGCATGGATGCATAATACACGTGCGATACAAGCGCGCATTACATATGTTTAAAAATGTTTGTATTAAATGTATATGTATACCGATTAAAGCATATGAATGCCAGTATTTTAGCGTCACGGTACAGTGTCTTTGGTGATGACCGGATGCTAAAGACAAATGATATGACAAGAAATATCACACCTTTTACTATTCCATTAATTAGAATTTTGAACAGTACGTAAAACAAACATGTTTCAAAATGAGTACTTATATGAAAATAAAAATACATATTTATATACAGTAAGAGTCTTCTCCATTTTTTATCAAAACACATTGACATTAAAATGGTTCAAAAATAATGAATGATTTCGTAATTTAATGACCACATTTTTAATGTTACATTTTTCACATATCATTTTTAAATGTTATATTTTAGTTAGCTATTTTTAACCAACTGCAATAACGATATTTTGGAATTTTCAGAACTTCATATAGATCTCTAAATTGCTTAAAGACATTTTCTCGATATTTTGACATTTACGTTTATTTACCGAATAAATTCTAGAAACTTCTTCATGAACCCGTCACTAATTAAAAGGCTAGAACCAGACAAATCTCAGTAACAAATTGATCATGTTAAATGTCAAGTATATTATAGCAAATTCCGTAGGGAAAGTTTAGGCATTAGTCGAAAAATTTGTAACCATAAAGAATTCCGAGTTGACATAAATGTATATCCGTAATTATGTATCGTTCTTAGCGCTACTGTCTGATTCAGTTATTATCTAAACGGGTAAGAGGGGTATTATTATTATTATTATTATCATTATTACTTTTATAATACAGGTACATTTGAAATATATTATTTGATTACTTGCATTAAGCTGTCGCGCATGAATTACTCAGGGTGTAAATGCTCATAATGCCCCATTTCTTATTTATTTATTTAAAAAAAATGGTATTCTGTTACAGTCTATGAAAATGTACTCACTGGCCATACAGCTTATAAAGAGTTTTCTATGGAAGACAAAACATACTTTGTTTGCATTTTGCTACAGTTCTAATATGACAAATTATTTCACATTTAACGCTGCTTAATACACACGGTAAGCATGTTGATATATTATAAATAGCATGTGTGAAAAAAATCGTGCTAATTTCTGAGGTATGATATGCTTTAACAGAAATTTGGTTTTCATATTCATTTTTTAATCTAAATAACGCACATATTTATGAAAGCAAATGTTAATAAAAGCAGACCGAAAATAGAATAAATCGAAAAACTAATACTATTTAAACACGTTGTATCTATTAAATCATTTTTTACAACAACAACAACAACAGCAACAACAATGATAATAATAAAAGAGAAATAAAAAAAAGATGATTTATTTAAGAAATGATTTGAATAAATTAATAAAAATATAAATGATAAATAAATAAGTAAAAATCAATACTATTTCTCTTGTTCTGTAATCGATATAACTTTAAAGTTATAAAGTTTTTCTAATACGTACATGTATTATGTAAATAAAAACTTAATAATTCTTGCACGAGCGAAAAAAATATAAGAGATGCCAAAGCGTTTGAAGACACGGAATGTAAAGCTCGCAATATATTACATTGGATGTTTTATAATAGTAAGTTATAGCTATAAGTTCATACTCACAAAACAACAAATCCTGTAAACCGCACTTTTTAATTTGAAAATATAGACTGGAAACTACATTTACGACTCATAAAATGCGAGTTGGTGTTCCGGCTAAATCAAGATCAACATTAAATAATACCTGCGTTCTATTCAAAACAATAATTTGTATGGTAATGATAAATCTTTAATTAATCAACAGCCAGAGTACGGGACTTATTTTTTAACAATCTGATACAAACAATTAAAAAACAAAAATGGAAACGTATGAAAATTTAATCAACGACTCAATAGAGACGTCATTTTACCTTTGGTTTTCACATTCATTTATACGATATGCGTACTATAAAAAGTCATCGTAATAGTAAAATTCATGTATCCCAAAGGTATTTTCGGAGCCAATTCATTATTCATTGAAAAGACACCACTAGGTTATTTGCTTCCTATCAATTGTTTACCAAATGAATAGATTCAATAGCCAATCAAATAATTTCATCACGAGCAAAATGATTAAACCAAAGGAATCGTAACTAAGGAAGCGCGCGCGATAATTGTATCGATATAATTAAATAGAGGTAGCGTGTTTCACATTTCTACAAAAAAACAAAAACAAATATGAAGTATGTTTCGAACATTATATGAGATATCTACTATGCTCTTTTGCTAAAATAATGATTTCAGAAGATATCCAAGATATAATTGATACCAACATCATATCTGAAAGGGATGTTTTGGACATTTTCTCCCTATTTACAAGCTATTACAGCTCTAAGAATATATTAAGAGGTCAGTAAATCAATACAACATTTTCCAGTTCAACAAAAGAATAGATTGTACCGATAAAAACATAATACTCTTGACATTGACTGTCACGTAACATAAATAGAACTTTTTAACATTGAATAAGTTACTCTCTAACAGACAAAAAGTCAGACAGCTCTTAGTCAGATTGCACTACGGTACTACACACATGTTCAGGTTACTCTAATCCAATTTTTGCAATGAGCATATTGGTTAAAACATACTTTATTCGTCACATAAGAACATATATACATACATGGCATTTACAATCAACACAAAAAATGATCATATTCATGAAGTCTTTTGAAGGATTACCATAGAAAGCAATTTGTATTTCAGCCAATGAATTTTTTACAAATACAGTTTTTTTTTTTTTAAATATTCGCCCTAAAGACATGTTTACATTGAATCTTTTCTCGAAAATGTGTTGTGTTCATGTTTAATGTAATAATAGACATTGGACATGGATACATTCTATTTGTCATGGAAATATTCTTTACATGATTAAAAAAAATAAATAAATCCCTGTCTGTGGTTGCATTCATGCAATCTTTCTCTTTCCTATTTTGAACGCGGCGCAAATTAGATATAATTTATATCACTATGATTTTTAATGAGATAGTGCGACTGTCTTATTTATGAACATTGTATGAAATAAACAACAAATCTGCATTAATTTTGCATTGAAATTTTACACTGTCATACATTTTCATTCCTGCAGCAATTGATTCACTCGGGAATAAAGCAAATTTAAATTGATTTCTATATTTGTTAATGTCTGATTGATAGCTAATGTTATATTGTAGATTTTACCCTTGACTTACCGAATTTCTTAAAAAAGACTTGCCTAGGTTCAATTTGTGTGACTTTTATGAATAAAATTTTGGTGATTACAGGAAGAAAAATTTGTATTATTCAGTCAACAGTATATATTCTAGTATCCCTGCAGGCTGGCATGGCTCTATATAATTATTTTTGTACCAGAAGTGTAAGGCTTTGTACCAGATGTGTAAAGGTTAAAGTTGCACTCCCCAGATGACAGAAACGAATTTTAAGAAAAACATTGTTTGGAAAATGTATTAATTATTATTATTATTGACTGTATTAAGGAAAATATGAAAAAAATATTAGTTTTCTCATCAAATGTTTCCAAGTTGCTAATAGAGTAAGATAATTTTTCGCATATTTTGGAATGGAAAGTTATATATATTTCCTATTGATAATGAGTTCCTAAGTATAGGTAAAATTACTTAATTTGTACACTCGACAACCTTTATTTTCAACATTTTCGATCTTTTAATTATAAAAACAACAACAACAATCTGGAGGCGTGCTCTTTTGATGTAAAATCTTAAGTTATGTGATAAACATTTGCCCTATGAAATATCCAGTAGAATTATAAAATGAAACATTGTGCAAGACAGGTATCATTTAGTTTTGAAGTGATATCTGACAGGAAATAAGACGCCAATGTAAGATAAAATAATGAATATTACAAATGCAATGAAAAAAATATAAACGCCTTCAAAAATAAATACATGACAGGAAAAGGTTGTATTATAATAATATTAAGCACACACAATAGAAAGTTACATCTCATATAAAAAAATAAAAGGACAAAGAAGATACACAAAGGAAACTTGTCTATGGAATTGAAATGAACATTTGGCAAATCATATGAAATCTTTTGAAACAAAATTATGAAATCATTCTTTCATAAGACACATTAATTTGTGTTACCAAGATAAATATGTGTAAGTCTTTGGACGGGCAAGAATACAGACAAACATGGCGAAATATTTACAAGTAGTAAAACACGTTTGTATTTCAATTCTTTTTTATCTATACGCGTTTCTAGTACATAAAATCACTTCGACAAAAAAGATGTCCGCATGAGTGAGTTTCATTATAGGTCATCCGTAGAAGATAATTACCTTGAAATACTGTGAGTAGCAAGTCTCATCATTGTTTGTTAAATCGATCAGTCTTAATTTGAAAGAACAAATTGTACTTGTGGTAACCCAAGGGAAATCTTTATGTGGTTATATAGACAGTCCAAATACTGTTACAGCTTTTAGCATTGAACATTTTGATATTGACGATTATTAGAATTGTATTATTAGAATACCACATTAAATATATTAAATCGACTTTCTCATCTTTCAATCTAGACAAAACCATTCGTCAGGTCAGGAAAATTGTCAAATGAGTACTAACTCAATCTTATCTGAAACATCTTATCATTGACTGACTGGATAACGGTTACCCTTACACATATCCCCCCCCCCCATTCTCTTCATAAATAATTGCTCGTTCAGGACAATTTGAATAAAACATTGTTTCCCAACATGGAAATCAAATTTTAAATACGTTGACAGGAAAATAGTTAAGACTGAAATAATTTCAGAGGTTTTTTTCCCGATATTTTACTCAGGGCTTTTCACAGAAGACGTTTATTTTAGAGGAAAGATGAGCTTGCTAATTCTAGTATTTTTCTCGAATTGTTCCTATAGCATATTTATGTCCGTAAGAATGACTTAA